CCACAAATCCAAAATTTTTTTGCAAAGGTATTTTCTTGTTTAAAAGAAGGAGCCACCGTTCAATATTTTAAAGATGAAAAGATGACGGATCGAGAGATTATACGATCTCTCTTTTTGCGGCTATAAGCTTCTGTGGGAATAATTCGCGGCGTTCTTTTGAAAGTCAAAGTGCAACGCACATGTGGCGCATCAGCAGCGACCGGAGCGATGCATCCCACGGCAAATGCACTTTCTACGAAGGAGATTCGATTGGCAGTTCGCGGAACCCTCTACCTACGCACCTCGCATAATGTGTAGGAAGGAGAACAAGAGAGAGAGAGAGAGAGAAAGATAGAAAGAGATTGGATCGTACCAATTTTCCCGTTTGGCAATTTTCCGCGAAGCAGACGAAGAGCGCAGATTATTTTCTCGGCTCGTCTGACATCGTGTAAGGAATTTATTCATTAATTTGCCTCTCGGGAGGATACGCGAGGAAAAGTGTCCTCGCACTCTCGATTATCCCGTTCGTTCGCTATGCGTGTGTATGATTTTATCCATCCATTTTACGGAAAATATACACTACACAAATGTATAATCAATATAGATATAAAAAAAAAAAAATGTTAAACTTTTTGATAAGCTTAAAATTGATTTGGTTAAGCACACATACGTATTTCCTCTTGAAAAAAAAAAAAAAATGTACGTTTGGTATATAAAATTATATTTGGTATAATAAAAATATAAAAATAAAAAACAAAAATAAAAATATAAAAACAAAAAATATAAAGATTAATATAATAAATATAATAAAAATGTATATAGAATCAATTATTCAACTCACAAATATCTTAATACTTAATTTTTTGACAAATTTAGACAAATTTATTTTTATTCTTAAATTTTGATGAAATTATTTTCAATTTAAACATTGACTGATAACCGAAAAGCATCTTGACGCGACAGATAGAGCAAGAAGACAAAGGATTCAGCGGCGAAGGAACATTTGACGTATGCGGAAGGGGGTTAAACGTCGTCGGCTCGAAATTCCCTCGAACGACTTCCGGCAAATTGCTGGGCGAACTGGGAAGTCGGTTATATCGACAGACAGAACGAGAGGAAGAGAGCGTGGGCACGAATGCGCGCTAAATCGAGGGGTTTAGGAGCCGTAGACGGCCGGATGCGCGGTCGCTCCCTCGATGAATATTAAACTCGCTCTCTCATCGTCCGAAAAGACGTACCGGCGAATTTTCCAAAAAACCGCGCGATCCAACTGAATCCTAATAAGCCATCACGACGATTCTCTTCGCGCGCGATTACATCGTTCGAAAAAATTTTATCTTCTTATTTTCTTTACAGAAGAAATAAAAGTGAGTGATTTTTTATATTTCTTATTCATCATTATATATTATTTATTTAATTATACGTATTAATTTTTTTGTAATAATAATGCAAAATTTAAATTTTGTGTTTTTAATAAAGACGTAAATTTATTATTACATATAT